AAATGTACAGTTTCATTGTGTCAGGTAGGAGCCAACACTTCAGGAATTGTGGGTGCGAGGACACAGAAATTGTGGTTACACTAAAGTCAATAATTTACTAAAGCATTACTCAGCCTAATCCAAGGTGCTCAGTCATCTGTATTTGTTACTGGATGACCCTGCTGTGGGAGCCATGGCCCTGGGATGAGGAGACACAGTGAGAAGGAGACAGGAAGTGAAGGGGTGTCAGGAAGGTACCATTCACTCACTCAGCCTGGCGGGAGTGCTGCATCCCTCCATCAGGAAAAGCAGAGCACGGATTTGGATACTGTGAATCTTGATAGGAAAGGGAAACAGCCTCTCCATTGGCTGAGACAATGCCCTTCGCTGTTCACACAGGGCCAGCACCATTCTCTGTCTCGATGAAGCAAGGCTGGGTGGGAGATCACGGTGTGCTGTGCCTATTTACCTCGAAATCTGCAATCTACTTCAAAGACATGACTTGGATGGAGCCACGTAGGAAGATTCTTTGGACACAGTCATATTAAAAAGTAATATATGTAGGCTCAGTTTACAACACCTAAAGCACTTTGTACTCAGGACAGGAATGAGCTCAGGGCCCGGGTGCACAGTTAGAGCACAGTGCTGAGATTTATAACCTGAAGCTGACTCCAAGTTACAGAGACTAGATCAGCTACAAAAATCTGCCTTGGAAACAAGACCTTTGCTTTAAACTCAGGTCCTGCCTCCAACTGTGTTAGTCTTTAAATCTGTGAAGGAAGAGAGCAGTGGAGGGAGGGAGGGAAGGAAGAAGAAAACATTCCTACAGAACAAATAGAAGCCCACTGTAAGCAGAGCATCTGGGGCCCGGCCCTTCTCAACATAAAAGAAACAGAGGATGTGTAACGGACATCCTGCCATTTGTGACATCTTCCATCAACATTTCTGGTGCCAAGAGAAAACTTCTGAGCATAAACCCATCGCAGACTCAACAACAGGCCTAAGTCACCTGAACTCTCTAAGCACAGAAATCTCAAACCAGAAGCAAGGCAGAGAGAGCCATGAAGCGTACTTGGGTGTAGCTCAGAGAGAGGCTTTTGAGTCCTAAAGACCATGTTATTTTCCCCCTTCCCTGAAGGATGCCCTCAGAAGCCCCTTTCATCCTCACCCGCCTCTTAGGCCTGATGGAATAAATGAGGTGAGAGTCAGGGTCTGTGGCTCATGGGAGTAAATGGCATGGGAGGCTGCACTCCCCTCCCTGTGCCTGGCAAACTGGCTTTTCAGTGGGGAACCATCCGCTCTCAGTGACACTCCGGACGTTGCTGGCCTGAGTGCATGGCTCCGTGCTCTCTTTGCATGTGTCTGGGACACCTGTGCACCTCTGGTCTAGCCTACTGGGATGGACCTATGTCCACTGAGTGTTTCACTAGACTGTGGGGGCCTGCCCTGTCCCTGCTGGCCAGCACTTTATGAATAAACCAATGAATTCACAGTAGGCAGAACTTGGGAAGGAAGTCAAAGTGTGGATGTTCTGTAAGAACACCAGAAGACAAGGGTATCACAGTATCACCCAGTAAAGCTGGTGGCTATGGTCTTGGAACTATCCTCTGCTAAATAATGCAAAATCAGGAGAGCACAGTATCAAAACGGGATGCAGACAGGATTGGACGTTCCCAGGCTCTGTCGTCTCCCGAAGCCCTCGGAGTCCCCAGCTGCAGAAGACAAAGGAGATCAGTACCCAGTGTTAAGGCCTATGCGAGTGCACACTCACTGGCCTCAGTGCCTCTGTCTGCCCAGAGCTCACTTCCAGATTGGAGAGCTGAGTCCTGAGTTCCCCACAGGCAATGTGGAGGGTGACTGTTGGGCCAGGGCCGGTTCCCCTTGCATCAGAGCATGTTGACGGTCTATGGATGGATCACAAGATCAGCCCTTTCATTTCTGCTCACTAGTGGGTTTATAGGACAATCTTGTTGTGATTCAAATTTGCATATGCTAAAGATTCTAGGTACTTTCTCCCACCTGCAGTGATTGTTAGGATTTCCTCCTTTAGAAAATGCTACCTGTCCAAGAGTCATGACCCTTTTTCTGCTGTGTTATCTCATTTTCATTATTGATTAATAAGAATTTGGGTATTTTGTATTAATGTCTTGCAACCCATATTTGTGCAGTGAAGAACTCTATTTCCTTTTAAGGGTCTTCTTGGGAAAATTGAGAAGCTGAAGGGATTTGAGAGCAGGGGCCTCCTCTGTCCCAGAGCCTGGCTGATAAGTGCAGTCTGCACACACCCCACATCGCCCACTTCAAAATGTGTGTGCCTGTGTTCCTAACACACACACACAGACACATGCATACACACTGACAGTTGCTATCTAGTGCTCATTTTTAACCTAGTCTTTTGATTTTTACATTTATTTTATGGTTTACTTACGTATGATAAGCTTTGGTGAGACCCTGAGAACAAAAGACACTTACTGAGACTGAAGTTCACCCACTTGTAACTTGTTCCTGCCAGGGTTGCAAGTAACACTTGAACCACCAGTGTCATGCACATGACTGCCTATCCGGCAGCCTGCACCACTGGTTGAGACTGTCCAGGCCGCCCAGTGGGACAGTCATGCATGTAGCACCAGTGGTTCAAAGCTGCCCAGCAGCATGACATAAGAGCTCCCTGGTGAACACATTAATGAGCTCGATGAAAATGATCCCCATCTTCCAGATGGTAGATGATGCATATTAATCCTACTGTGTGTCAGCTGACTCTTCTGTGGGGGGCAGAGATGTGTTCTGAGTGGGCTTCCCAGTGTTTACAGAAAAACCACGGGCCACTGGGACCCCACTGTTCATCATAATCTCATGCAAATTGCTGTCTTACAATGGCCTTTCTGGATTATTTTGGAGGGCAAGATTAATGCACGGGAAGAAGTTGAATTACACAAAGCAGAAAATGACTATAAACTCTTGATGTGCAAGTGTGAAGAGAGATAGGTGGACTTGCCCTTTCCTATGACTTCCCTAGAATGGCGAACTCCTCTCAGCACTTCCCCACAACTGTGAAGTTTCCAGAAGGGTTAGTGCCACACTTGCTCATCCACATGCTCACAGAACACGGGCATAGTACACAGCAGGTAATAAAGAGCCCCCTTGCAGCTCTCTGGAAGTCACAGAGAGCACTGTGGTGCCAATCAGCCATGTGCATGAGAGCTAGAATCTGCCTTGGGCCCACACAGCCTGCAGGAGAACCTGCCCAGTTACACTGCCTTTTCACCTGAGCCACTTTGCAGTTCCCACACCCTGCAGCTAAAAGACAATACTTTCTATTCTCTAATCCATCCTTTGGACCAAAAAATCAGTGTGAACAGTGAAAATGGAGCATTTCCAGGCAGTCAGATGTTATTGACACCAAGGTAGAAAAATCATGTGAGTGAACAGCCAGCCCGGTAATTTATTTGATTCCAGAAACAAAGCACTATTTTGCTGTTGTACAAAATTCAACCAAGTTAGCAATGGTTTGTCTAAGAGAGGCCTTCCATATACTCCTTGGTTTTTCGACAGCATCACTAAGATCACAGGAGTAGCGATTCTGGCTGCTTCCTCCTTTGTGAAATCAGAAGCCTTCCCCAGAAGCCCCCATTCAAAGGTAGCTCTGCACGTGAAGGAAACAGCAGGTGAAAAGCCTTTCCAAGCAGAGACTCAGACAGGGGTGAAGGAAACAGCAGGTGAAAAGCCTTTCCAAGCAGAGACTCAGACAGGGGACAAACCCAGTAGTCCTAACTTTTTTCTTTATCCTCCATGAGTTTGGAAAAGAACTATTAAATCTAAATGTTAGCTGACTGAACATATTTTTTTCAGCACTTTTTAAAAAGAACTTGGATAGTAAAAGAGTTTTGAAAAAATGGATGTATTTTAATTCCACAGAATGCACACCACACATCTGTTAAGTGATGAGCAGTCGCTTCACTCCGAGGTTTGTGTTACTGATAATTACGGGTGTCATCCAGCTCAGGAGGCCCTCTGTGGTTATGAGTCCTAACAGTGGCCTGGCTCCCTGGCTGCCTGCAGGTGTCCAAATAAGGAACAGACTGCCCAGTAGAAGAGGCCCATGCCCTAAATAGTCTAACATTTAGGGCATATTTCATGCCCCTAAATGCATGTTTCAAGTCTTTATATGAATAGCTGGGGGCAATGTTTTGTACTTTATTTCGTTATATAATGATATGTCTCCCCTGTTTTCATGTGTACAATCTAGGAATTTTGGTAGCCAGATGATGATGTTTCCTTGCTGGTCTGATAGGTGTCCCAAGGAAAGGAATCAAGCCCACATTGCAGAGACTACAGACCATTTCCAAATAAAAAGGATCAGAATCATGTATAGCCCCTTTGGTAGAATATTAATGGAAAAATACCATTTTATACATTATTATCCTGCCAGTTTTATTATTTTCAGTACATCCTGCCCTGTTATGAGTGATAAAATGACATAAATAAATGCTCTGGAAACTGACCTGTGAAGAATGACCCACTTTCTCTTTGAAAAAAACATATACAAACCAGAAAATTTTGCTTTTTCCAACCAAAAAAAAAAAAAAACAAAAACAAGGTTCATTTCCACTGGTGACTATAGTCCTTGTGATTATTTTTTAAAATTAGAGATTCCTGAATCACCATTAACTTTCCATGATTCAGACTGTCCTCCTTTAATGACTTCACCCTGCCCTACGCGTCCATAGGTACGTATATGTGATATGTATGTGTATATATGTATTTAAGCGTGTATGCATGTTCTTTATTTTTGTTTTGCTTTAATGAGTTTTTTGTTTTATGCATGCATATATAATGTACACTTATCTTCACTTTTCTCCCTTAGAAACAGCTTTTAATATCACTTTAGGGTTTGTCTACTGACACTGTCCCATTCCCAAGATTACTCCTGAGTTCCCTCTTGAATTGTGAACAAGCATAGGTGAGATAATGTCCAGAAACAACAAACCAGTCTCTGCAGAGCCAAGTCTGGTCCGACCTACCTGGGCAGCGGGGAGTTTTGTGGGCTACTGCGGTGCCGCTCACTGGCCTTCCGTTGGGTGTGACGCACCAGCAGTACCCCGTGTAGCTGTGACATTGCACCTGCCGAGAGAGGACACGGTGAGCTCCCTGGACACATGACTATGCCATGCCACTTCACAGGGGCCCATGGGTACCGAGAAAGGCGGTGCTGCCTTTGATCATGACCCTGAGGAGAAGAAGAGGCAACCCATGCTATCAGTGCCAGACTGACCACCACCGGCCCGCATCTCACACACAAGGACGCTGAGGCCTGCAGGAGCCCACAGACCACTCTGTGCCACAGAGTCCAGGAAAGAAGACAGGCCTCTAGTGGCCAGTGGGGTATCCCTCCATAGCACCCCTGAGATTGTCCTGTAGTCTCTGGGCCCTCCTGAGACAACCTCAGCAGAAGGCTCCCCTCGGCTCCCCAGCACTGTTCCACTCCTTCCTCGTCTCTCCAAGACCAAATGACTACAGCAAGAGACTGAGGCCCACACTGTGACCTCCCAGATGGGGATCATGCTTGTCATTCCACCCAAACCACTCCAGAACTGTGTGTTTGGGGTGACCCCATAAGGAACGGAAGTACTGCCGCTCCCCTAACAGGGACTTGGGTTGTTTCCAGCACTGCCTTCGACTAAGAGCTTGACCACAGGCACAGCACAGCCTGGTTTGGCCAGCTCCCAACCCTGATCCCAACAGACTGGGCCAAACCAGGGGCTCATGCTGCACTGATGCTATGGCTCTTGGCACAAGCTCCTTACAATGGAAATTAAAGCCAAATTAAATTTTCAGTACCGATCCAGTTGGCATGGTCCGGTGAGCCTCCTAAGCATCCTGCCCTGTGCAAATTCAGAGATGTTTCCACCAACTGAGGCACAGAGGTACCCACTTATACTTCTACTGCACTGGAATGTCACTTTCCCCAGGGTGGCCCACTTCCCCTTCATTCACTGTACAAGGGTCCCACAGTCACCTGGCTGTAGGTACCATCCTCATTACACTCTGGGATGAACACCTGCTGCAGCTCCTTCCGGGCCTGCTCCTGGGTATACTTCCTCTCAGCCACACACCTGGACACATCTGCAGGGAGAAGGGGGCAGAGAGTGATGCAGTGAGGGTTAAGGACGACGGGCCACCCAGGTTAGTGAGGTCCCCCCAACAGGGCCAGTGCCTCCCGCCCTGTGTGGAGGCAGAAGAGCAAGTGGCTCTCTGGACAAGAGCAGGAGGGAGGTGGAGGCTCGGAGAAGCTTTCCAGGGTGTCTGTGGGAAGCAAGTGTACCCTGCCCACAGGGTGCGCAGCAACAGGCCAGGACCGCACCCAGATGCAACGGGGTAAATTCAGACCATATGGAACTAACCAGGAAGGGGTGCGGGGACACTTCGTGGCATGGGGGCCTTTCAGCCCAGTCACAGCCTTGGAGTAGAAACCACAGCCCTACTCTTTGTTCAATATCTTATTTGCCAAAATCCCAAAGTCCATACGAAGCTCATCCCCCTTTCAACTTCACTTGGAAAGCCTGATAATCAAGTGGATGAAAGGGGCTACTACCCTCAGCAGGACCCTGCTAAGGCCATGAGTACAGGTTCAGTCACTGTATCACGGTGGTGTACTTAATTTTGCAGAGCAGGAGTCTGCCATGCTATGCAGGAAATCATGAGAGCCAGTGAGGCCTCCTGTCCACGTGATAAGAACGGGACTCAGGCCACACCTGACCCCAAGAGTCACAGGTGTGGAGCTCACTGACCCAGTGAGGACGAAAGGTGGGGTGTGACGGGACCCAGTGCTGAGCTCTCTGCCAGCAGGAGGATCCATTCGCTGTTCCTTGCCTCCCGCCAGAGTATACACCATGGTGCCACACAGCTCCTTTGAGCTTTAGAACTTGGCAGGAGCAGCTGACCCACGTGCTTTGTGCCTCCCGATCCAGCTGACCAGTGCCCAGGTCTCTGAGAGACGCCCCTCCACATGTCGCCTATTCTCATCTTCATACAGCAGTATCTCGAGGAGGGAATGCCACCCCGGGCCCCTGCCAGGCCCAGCAGCTTGGTGTTACTCCTGCCATTGGCCGAGAGACCCCTAGCTTCATCCAGAGTGATCGGGCTCTAATCGCACCAGGGTCATCAGCTTCCGTGTGGCTCAGGGCTTACGTTCGCCCTCACTCGGGCGGGCAGCCAATACTTAGCAGCACTCGGTGGTTTTGATGCAGTCTGTGTTCACTTAGAAGTCACTGCTGTGCTGAGCTCGCCTGGTTTCTCAGTCCACCCTGTGGTTTGACTGTCTAAAAGGAAAAGTGATCTGAGCTGCAGCTTGTAAGGTCTCAACTGGGAGAGACAGAGCCATTAATTATTCCTCCTATCTGAGCTATCATAGAACATGCCAAAAAAGCATAAATTTTCCAAACAACTTGTGGGCTCCATTCCTGGCTCAAACTTCTTTTAAAGACTTCACATTTGCTGCTGGTTAGATGGCTCTCAAACCTGCAGCTCCTGTGTTTAACAGGGTATATTAAATTCCAAGTTCACATCCACTGTATTGCTGACTAAGTCATAGGAGAAATGAAGACGCACCACAAAATTCCGGGGTCTGGAAATCACCCCTCAAAACAAGTCTGTTGTAACCTTGTGAGCAGCCCGGGTTAGCTCAGGCCACCTCTCTGGCGTTTCTTGCTGCAGATATTTGGTGTTAAATCTGCACAAGGGCCTCGCTGCTAACAAGTCTGGGCGAGCCACCAGACGAGTGGACTGAGAAGCACTAGCCAGGATGAATCCACACTGAAAACCCTCAGTGTCTCTCCTGGGCTCTTAATCCCAATTTAAATAATTAGGCATGAAACATATGCACACCTTGGACTAAAGGAATCCAAGTAATATACACAGCCTCAACATTATTTTTCTAAACCTTCTAATTTCTCAGTCACATTTTAAGCAATAGAATAGAAATGTTCATTGTTCTCTTCTTGAATATTTATAGGTGACACATTCATATTATTACAGCTCTACTCTTTGTACTTATTGTATTAAATTGAAAATAAGCAGATCCCCTGTACTCAGGACCTTTTGAAGATCTTGTTCTGGACACTTACCCACTCAGTGTTAGCTCTGAAATCCTCAGAACACAAACAAAATAATTTTTATTATTGTACAACTCCATAGACCATGAGATCTGCCATTTTAACCATTTCAAAGTGTGCCATTCATGGCACTCAGCACGCTCTCAGCACTGTGCGACATCACTGCCGTCAGTCACCACATGCCCTCTGCAAGACATCCCATCGCTCTGGAAGAAGCCGCATGTCCAGCAAGGAGCCACCTCTTATTGTCCCCAACTCCTAGAATGATGTCTCCACTTTCTGAACTAAGCACTTGCCATTCTGGACATTTTATATGCATGGAATCACACAATGGCCTTTGTGTCTGGCTTCCTTCAAACCAGAAGAATTCTCAGGGCTGTTCTGACCCAGCTCTTTGTTCTGGAGACAAGATGTAGGTGTAGACCATCCACTTCAGAGAGGCTCCTGTCACACTGTGGCTCTGCATCCTCAAGCCAATGCTCTCTGTGACAATAATGACACTGTGGTCAGGGTGAACGCTGCTTCTGTGTCGCTGAGGCTTTGCCTAGGGAAAGAGCAGGGTCCTGATCCTAATGGCTATACCAACAACAGTCCTTTCACTTCCCCTCCAGCCACAGGAGCCTCGCAGTGGTCACAGTGAGGACCCTACCTTGTGATCTTTTCTGCACCAAGAGCTCAATTGCTGGCAGAGACCGCCAAGAGAGCTTGGGCCCCACAGCAATGTCACAAGTGCTAAGGGGCAGTGCACCGCCAAGGACAGTGACCAGGACCAGGAAGCATTCTGTATCTGAACCTACCAAGGGGTCCAATGCAGAGCTCTCTGCCTGAGGAATCTCCAAAGAATTTGCTTTTGTTATGATTTTTGTTTCCAGAAATCTCAAAATAGTCCAAGTTCTCCTGGCATGTAACTTTTTTTCTGGCTCTTTTAGTTAATGCCAGAGGTTTTGTTAAAAAGAAAGGCAGGCCCGCTGTTCTCAGATCAAAAGAAAACAGAATGTGTTTGCTGAGCTCAGAAAACACAAACTCCACAAATTTCTATGAAAATATGAGAAAAATCCATCAGTTTAAACCACTGCAATTCTCCTCAAGGTCAATGGTTAGCTCATAATATGAAGTGTACGAAACATTTTAATCCTATTTAATTAAATGTGGACTAAAATATTTTAATTCTTGTTTCAAAACCAGTACATCCAAAAGACACAGGCCCACAGAACTGTCATCCGCCAAATATGTGGAAATACCCTCAAAATACTGAAGTCAGCAGCAGTGGCCCATCTGCCAAGGGAACGCTCAGAATGCTGCCTACTTTGGCACCAGAAATAGGTGAAGAAAGACCAAGTGGCACTTGTGTCTCTTGTAGGGAGGTAAAGGACATTTGATTGTTGCCTCTTTTAACTGCAAGGAGGCAAGTTCCTACCCAGGTCACCTGTAGAATCTGTGGTACAACCCCTCCTTCCAGCCAGAACAGGCACCTGGGTCTCATCCATGAGCCAGTTTCACCTCTATTCCCATCCTGCACAGGCTGGGTGGTGAGCATTAAATGCTGGGCTTCAGGAGTCTGGCTGGAAACATCTAACAGTGTACACAGCCTATGGGAAGGAGCCCACCCCAGAATAAGGCCCACTTCCCATCAAGGGGCCAGAGACCCCAGCACAGGGAAGAAGCCCTTTCCAGGTGGGGGAAAGGCTGAATCAGCACAGATGAGGGCTGAAACAGCCTCTCAAAGCCCCAAATCTAGAGCTTCAGAGGCATGTGATGCTTGCTGTGTTTGGAGTGCAATGCTTGTCTGCTTGTCTAACACACTGTAGACCAGGCTGCCTGCCCATGCTGCCCTAGATTAAATGGAACTATGACTCTGCAGTTGTCTCTGCTTTGTGCTTCTTATAGCCCTTCTGACTTAAATTAAACCTACTTTGGGGACTAAATCTCATGCTTACCTACTTCTGCCCTATATTGTTTTGGGGTTCATAAGCTTATGGTACATCTCCAGTGAAGTGAATAGAATTCTAACCAAGGGAATTTCCAGAGAAACTAGGCTAGATGCAAATGTGAGGAAAGTAATAAGGACACTACTGCAAAGTACATAGTGTTTAATGCACACACACACACACACACACCATAAAAAAAGGAATCCAACTTTGATCTTGCTGAGATCTTGCTTCAAAGATCTGAAGGCCACACCCAGTGTATGGGGAAACCACCTCCAAAAATGGATAAGAGAAGCTGGTGTGAGACTTCCCCCAAGAGCCAGGAGGCCCCTGGATTTTCTCAAATAATCCCTGTTCTCCATCCTCAAAGTCTGAGACATCCATGTCTCCTGTCCACAACTTCCTACAGCTGCCTTTTCCCACAAGGTAGAAACAGACTACAGAGGTTCACATCCCAGCCTTCTACAACCTGGGCTGCCTTCTCTCTCAGCCCCATCCATTGCTCCTTGGAGGACCTCAGATGGATTCCACCTGGGATCTTCCCCACTCTCTCAGCATTCGAGGATCACACCTGCTTGTGGTGAGGTTTTAGAAAGGGCAGCTGGGCACACAATTTCACTCTACCTACCATCCTCTTCTACATCCTCCCCTCCCCCCATGTGAATCGGTCTTTCTGGGGCTCCCTCAGGCCATCCTGTAGCCTCAAGCGCTGTGTGCCCCAAAAGACTCTGACTTTGAACAAACCGCGATAACAGAAAGAGTCCTTGATAATGCATGGCCATTAGTCATGGACGAAGTGACACATGTGTGCTAAGAGGAAGTTTGGACTCCAAACCAGGCATCTGCAGACATGACACTGAGTTCAGACATGTGCACAAGGACAGCTTTGTCACTGGGTGAAGATCAGGCTCCAGAGGGGCTCCAGCTGCATCTCTGCAGAAGCCTAACTCCAAATACCTAGACATTTTTTATCTTGTCATCAGGGAGCACTCTCAGCGGGTAAAGAGCATGCAAAATTCCATCTTGACTGCCTGAAAGAATAACCCGAATTTGTGCAAGTTTTGAGCATATCGCACCATGAAGGGCAGAGCCCATGGACTGGCAGCCTGTCAGTCCTGTGTTGAGATATTGTGCTCCACCACCTGTTGATGGGGTCGTCATTTTGGTCAGCTAATAGGACTGCTGGACAGAAAGCTAGTTGAGGCATAAAACCATCCCAAAGGCAGTTTGAGTCTCTGTGGTGTTTCCCAGAGAATAAGGGCAAGAAGGTAGATCATTTGTGAACTGATTCTATTTATGTTTGACGCCCCAACATCTTTTGCTGAGTCAAACCCTTCCCTATCATGGGAAGCCTCTTTCCTTGTTTTGCTCTAAATACCAGGTCTTCACTCTGAATCTGATTCTTACGTAGAAAAATTGAAAATGCTGAGGGTAAACGTTGCACCAAAAATATCACTGAAAACATCACAGTTGCTACCGCGCATTTGCTAAAGAGAAAAATGAAGACATGGAAAAAAAATAGAAAATTTTAGTAAGAATGATTATAGAGGACCTTGGGGAAAGCTGTGAAATGGATAAATTTATTTCACCACAACGTAAAACACTTTAAAAGAAAATTTAAACCATCTTTAAATTCATAGAAATTGTTCTTCACCCTTAACTTGTGGAAATAAACTAGAGGCGCAGGAGTTCTGTACCATCCGTATTCACACGGATAATCGAACTGGAGCTCACCTTTGCAGGTTCCCCGGTAAGCAATTTCTAACCGAGGGTCTTTGCACTTGGCGCGCTGGAATTCACAGCGGGACAAGAAGGTCCTCCCATCTGATGCACAGAGAGGTTTCTGAGGAGAGCCCGCACAGTCCAAGCTGCAATCTCTGTCTTTGTCTTGATCAACTCTCAAAAACTTAGGGGACAAAAAAAAAAGATAAAGTCAGATAAGTTGGAAAAACTGCAAAGCAGCAGGAAATGGAAGGTACAAAGAATACTGGTATTTAGTGCTCACCATGTGAGTCTCTTTAAAAATGCTAAGCTATCTTCTCTTTTAAAAACCCTCAACAATTCCTTAAATCCACATGTGATGTCTGATACCAAACAACACCTTCAGCCCTTCTCTGTAAAGAGCCACACTTGGGTCCTGTTTGACCCTGGTAGTCTGGTTTTCTTTGATTTTTAAATCCATTTGCTGACTCGCTTCAACATTGGACATGCGGTTTCTTTCTTCTGGAAGTTCCAGGGATCAGAAACATACACTGTTGGGATTGGAAGGACAGCCTACCCTTTTACATGGCAAGATACAGTTTCACCGGTGGTCTCAGAACCCACAGGTGTGCTTGCATGGATCCAAAGGATTGCTTTTGAACAAACACTTGTTGAGTCAGTGAGTGCACCCATGACCCAAAGTAGGTGCTACATTTCCATGACTGCCTCAGACCCACATTTCTGCCCTTCTCCTACAGTGCAGAACAGCAGAATGCTGAGGATGGGGCTTGGAGTCCATACTCCCACCCAGGTCCTCAAAAATAGTCTCGGCCCTGGGAACTTCCCAGCAGGGACCTGTGTAGCATGCCCTTAGTGCCCTTTTGTAGGGCTCAGCTTTCAGACAGTCAGGCTTCTCTGTGTTCTTGACACACAGATTCGGAGATCATGGTGACTCCCAGCAAAGTCACAGAGCAGACCCTGATCCTTACCTGTCCTCTCCACCCTCCAGCATCCTCTCCACCCTCACCTGTCCTGTGCACCTGCACACCGTGCATCTCATCCCATCTGTTCCTGTATCACACCAGACAATGCAACAAACACAGAAGCAACTTGCAAGAAACACAGGGCACATGAGACTGTCTGAGTGCAGGTCTGTGGGCTGTCACCTGCTCCTGAAAGGTCTCTTCTGATTTATGAAGCAGGAGCAAGGTATTAAAGAAAAGAACGAAGGGGAGAAGACAGTGCAGATCTGAGGGTATTCTCCAGTAAGCCATGGGCCTCCCGTGCACTCTATGTGTTTGAGCAGATTTTCTGGCACTCTGTCTTTCTGTGGAAGATTGAGAACTCTGATAAAATTGATTATCACCTCTTCTTGTCTGGGCTACAGAAAAAGTAGAGTAGAGGCCTAGCCAATTCTTTAGGGTCCACCACCTTGTTACTCCATCTGTAAATAGGATAGACAAATTCTCAAAGTCAGGATGTTACCATGCTTAAAGAATTACCAAGGCCTCCCCTAGGAGGTCTGAAGCCCTAGGATTACCAAAGCTGACACTAGAATCAAAGACAATGAAGGAACAGAAGGGCCAATGGGGACAGACTGCTGGTGGAGGTCCCCTCACTAAAAGCCCAGCAGGATCCTCAGAGCTCCCACCCAGGAAAGGGCAGACAGTGTACTGTGGCTGGTGACCCCTAAGAGTGGCCCTTCAGGGGATCAGGCCATTGCTCCTGCAGCTACTTCCCAGCATTCTGAGGAGTGAGGGGGGCTGAGCTGAGAGACGACAGGCCCTCATGTGGAGGAGTGCCCAGAGCAAGGAGAGTGCAAAGCAGCATGCTTTCATCTTTCCTGACAGATTCATTCCCCTGCTAAAATGATTATGTCCCTTTCAGCTAGAATCGAGAAAACAGATTGCTGTCTATTCAGGGCTTTGCAAACACTGGTGGGGTTGTCATTGTTGTCGTTGTCGTTGGTGCTGTTATTGTTGTTGTTGTTGTTTGGAGTTGTTCTGTTGTTGGTTTTGGTGTGGTTTTGAGGTTCTGGAGACCGAACCCACAGATTTTGCCCTGACTACATCCTCATACCTTCTCTTTTTTCTTCTTTACAGGACTTGAACTTTTGAGCTTGTGCGTGCTCTGACTGCAACTGTACACCACCACACCTGACTGGGTTGGTGATTGTTTTCATGGGCAGAGCAAGCTCATAAATACATTCACCTGCATCCTGACACTGAAGAATCTCAACTTCTTGCATGCCTGCTGGGAGGCAGGAGTTGTGCAGGGAGGCAGAGGCCCTTCCACCTGGCACCTCGAAAATCTCATCCCCATCTCACAGAACCATCAGGTCGACATCACTCCTGGCTGCACAGCACTGGAGGATTTTGATAAATTTCCCCCTACCAACACCACAGCAGGCCCAGGCAGCACCACCTTACAGAGAGAGGGAGCATGAAGCAGGGGCAGCTCCATCCATACCCTGACCTTGGCCATGTGGAAGCCTGCCCTGGCGGCTCTTCTGTTAGACATGAAGACCAAGGACCGGGTCACTCAGGCATGATGACTTCATGCCAATGCTGGGCTACCTGTTTTTTCCTGGGAGCCAATGGAGGACTCAGGTAAGACAACGTCATCATTGCGGCCTCAAAAGAGGAGCTATGGCTTCTGTTTTGTCACTAACAAACACTGGCACTCCTACATCTGGAATTTGACAGGGATTCTGGATATGTACATGGTGTGGGATTGAGAAGGGAAGAATTCACTCTCAGAAATAGGAGAACACACGCTTGGTGAATGTGTCTCTCCCTCCCCACTTTCAGTAGAAATTGAATTTCAAGGGAGGCAGGGCATGGAGGAAGATAGGCTTTTAAAACTAAGTAGTATCCTTTAAAATACAGAGGTACCAGAGAAAATAAGACATTCTTATTCTAGAGATTAAAGTTTATTAAAACATCTTCATTTAAGTGGTTCAAAATAGAAAGCACTTTGCCAGTCGGGCCTGATGGTGCATACCTGTAATCCCAGGGAGAATCTCCCAGGGAGAATAAAAAGTTCAAGCCCAGTCTGGACAATTTAATTATTTAGTGAGACTTTATCTCAAAATTAAAAAACAAATAAAAATAAAAAGACCAAGATATGTAGCTTGGTGCTAAGGTCCTGGGTACAACCCCTAGTGCTGCAAAAAGAAAGAAAGCATTTTACCAAATATAGAATGAAGTCAAATGGACCTTGAGCAACTTTTGTGTTAAAAAAAAAAAAAAAACTTTGCATGATAAGGGTCTCCCAGTTCTCACTGGCCCTGCCCAGTGCTGTTTGCACAGGTGCAAGGGGAGCAGGTGTGGGGATCACAGAGGGTGCAGGACATGGCTCTGTGGGTGCCAGGCAGCCATGTGCTGGAAGAAAGTGGGTCCAACACAATGGATCAAAAACAACCTACACTTTTCATAATGAATGCCTGGGTTTAAGCCAAAAGAAAGAGTTTAAAACAAAGTCAAACCAGTAGAGAAACAGATTTAAACAGTGATTGGAGACTTTCCTGTTCCCACAGTATGAGAAAATGGGGGAAAGTCGGACAGCCTCACCACTGAGACATATGTCCTAGGTGCAAGGACCAGAAAAGCAGGCACCTGCCAGAGAAGAGGCCTGGGAGGGAGGCAGCATGTGGGAAAGGAGCACTGAGGGCGCAGAGTGGACTGGAGGTAGCTCACTGGGCAGTTCTGAGAACGTGGATAATGAGTAACCATGCAGCCTAAGACCTTCTAAGAGAACATGCCTCTCCTCTCCCTTGGAAAGCCTGGGTTTTCCAGCATGTCAGGAAAACCTGTGACCCAAATATGAGAACTGCTTTTTAGAGCCTGGGATTCCGACCTCAAACATTACAGCACAACACCTCTGTCCCATGTGTTCATTAAGAATACGTCTCAACTTTCCAAGTGTGCTCACAAGTCAGTACCAGCCTGCAATGCGCTCCTGTAGTGCTCACCAAGTGGCCACTGTCTGCAAAAGGTTAGCTCTGGACACCAGGAAGGAGGCACTGTGCTCACCCAGAGTGGAGTTGTCCCCAGGACAGTGACCAGTGCCATGCTGGTACAGCCACATTCTGGGTGAGTGCTGGAATGGACTGACCCAGGGGTCAGGCAAGGGAAAAAAACAAAACCAGAGTGGGCTGAATGAGGAGAGAAGGAGCAGAAATCCCAGAACGAAAATCAATTCTGCTAAGCCTGGGAAAGTCAGCAGCATGAAGAGGTAGAAGGAAGACCCATTTTCTAAAAGTCCTGCTATATGGCATGGTGGTGGCTGGCCTGAAGACCTGGGAGCCAGGGATCTCTCTGAGGACCTGGGGAGCTCCTGTGTGCAAACATAAAATAGCAGTAGAAAGGGGCAGTGACAGCCTCTCCTACCTCCAACTGGAAAATCCCATATCAGGTACATCCACTGCTACAACAACCAGATGATGCCAATGGACAAGCTCCATACATAACCTGCCTACAGTCAGCACGGTTTCCAGATCCTGTCACAGTGGGCATCTTGAATGTCCCCAAAGGCCATGTATCTGAGGCTTGGTTCCCAAGGTGGCACTACTGAAAGGCAGTGGGACCTTTGGCAGGTGGGCCTGGCGAGAAGAACTAAGAGTAGTGGGGCCTTTTCCTTAACATGGACACTGGGACTCCAGCCCTGCCACCATTCCTGAGCATACTCCCCCAAAGTCATGGGCCAAGCATAATGTCCTGAAACCTCAGGAGTTGTGAGTCAGCACATCGCCTCCTTCCTATAAGTCGATTTTCTCAGACATTTTGTCATAGCAAAGGAAAGCAGACTGACAAAATTCCTTTTTAATGAACTACAACAAAGAGCAATGTTTGTGCATGCTGACTACAGATCAGCTAAGGATTCTGGCCTCCTCTGATCCTAGCCCAGTCATCAGGGAGCCAGCAGTCATTGGCATGCTGGGCTCCAAAGGGGTGAATGGAGACTCATTGTAGGTTCTGCTGCTTTCACTTCCATGGTCTCCAAGACTGAGTCTGCTCATCAGTAAGATGAGGGTAACAACAACCCAGTCTGCCTGCCACAGAGTCATCCCCGAGAACTAACATGAAGTTTAGCGCACACACACACACACACACACACACACACACACACATGTGTGCTTGCCGGGCATCTGATTACCGACATGTGGCCCACCCTCTGACAAAGCCAGACACTGTCCCCAGGAGGAATAGATCTCCATCTTCTCATCTAAGGCCAGTGAAGCACAGGATGTTAAGCCATCAGACCAAATGGCCGGCAGCAAGCACACTCATCTCCAGGAGCAAGCCAGCCTGCCTGCCTTTGTGCTCTACGTGTTAGAAATTATGGGAACCAAGAGCAAACGGAGAGGAGCAGAGGAAAGCCATGAACTGGCTGATAGGCAGAGGAGCCTTTGCTGGGAGTGCAGTGACATGAAGGACTCTAGGTCAAGGGAAGTGGCTTTGACTTTGGAGGGGCTGTTAGCTGTGCACTTGGACCTCACTGAGCCCTGTGAGCTGTGGCTCTTCATTTTTAAATTGGTGATGATAGCAACAATGCTTATTTCACAAAATTATTGTTGAAATAAAAGGAGATGGTACTTGAGAAAATGTTCAGAATAGATGTGGACATGTTATTTGTAAGAATCCATCCCATGCAGACACCCCTGCTTCCCCGCCATCTGGGTCCAGGTACACGGTGTAGCTCTCTGGTACCTTCTTCAGGCTCAGAAGAATTTTGAGTCTACTATGTGGGTACTAGGAGCAGAAATGAAGAAAAGGGAGCTAGAAAGTCAAGAAGAGAGAGTATGCAGTGGGTCCTCAGAAGATGAAAGAAGATTCCCAAAAGAAAACCAAGAACCTGGTCCTGTCCCCAAGTAGCTGCAGCAGGTCGGCGATAACAAGGTGGTTGGTTCAGATGCATGGAGTCAGGTGGAAAGGGTGAGGCAGGGGCTGGAGGGTGACTTCTATTAGAACAGACACAGGGAGAATTTCCATCTCCCAAAGGGGGCCTCTGTGAACACAGATGCAATGGGAACCCAAACAACTTCACGGAGCCTAGAGGTCCTGCAGAACGAATAGCAGACACAAGGCCGTAGCTACTTTCCTTTTCCTTTACATGCTGCTTTTATTGTTTGTTGTAGTGGACATAAAACCTCCCATAATGTGTTCTTAGACAAGTACCAGGCACCAGTACCCGGGCATTGTGTTTCCTAGAATCCCGTTTCTCCCTCCATGTCTGTCCATAGGCAGATGCAGGAGCCCATCCCACTGCTGGTGCAGGCTGTGGCTTCTCACTCTTTGAGTCTCATCCTCTTTTCCAAAGCATTTCTTTAATTTATTTTCCTTCCCTGTCTTCACATCTACATTAATTTCAGTGATGAAAATGGATATCTTTGCTTCTTGATAGCACCTGTTAGAGGTAATTCAAGAAAACTCTCAGGCTTTTAATTGTTCCAGATTTATGTATATTTCAGATTCAGTAAGAGCTTTGTTATTCCCAATTCTTCCTAAGAAGCTATCCTGCAGGTGACATCAACCTTCTTTCATCACTGTCATGGGTTAGGGTAATTTGCCTTCATTGAGCAGACCAAACAAGCCCTCTGCGGTCCTGAACCACAACTGGACTGGAGTCTTCAGGCAGGACCCAGTCTCCCTGAGGGCTTGGGTCCTTCTGATCATGGTGGTCACTGGGCCCTGGGCAATGTCATCAGGCCACTGTCTTTGGCGTCCAGCCACAGCTCAGAATCAGTTTCTTACCCAAGATCCCAGTAAGATCAAATGAATAGTAGCAGTTCCTATGCTCCCCCGGTTGTGGCTTTGTGAAGTCACATAGGTTTTGGACATGGAGGGACACTCAATGAACATGGAGCCAACTGTCAGAGCCAGGGAGGAACTCCACAAGGGGAGAGACTGAGCCCCTCATCTGTGTGCCTCAGTGTCCCAGTGTGTGGTGCCCAATAGAGCTATGTTAAAGTACTTTGTGGGGCCCCCATGGAATGACAAGGATGAACAAAAGAGGCCGGAAAATACATGTGGGGAAGCTGATGGAAGCTGAGGTAAGCAGAGACCCCAGGCCACAGGAGGATAGATTAAGAGGAACCAGGGTACTCTACAGGGAAAAGAGGTGTGCGGACTCTCAAATAGAAAACACAGTGACAGCAAGTACTTGCTTTGCTACCTACTCCCCATCTCCTCTTCTCTTGCTTCTTTTCCTATCTTATTCAAGTCCCTTTGGACTCTGTCCATCCGACTGCTCCAGCTCACAGCTTTCCTTTTCCAGGGACACGGGGCAGAGCAGGCACTGCACCAGAGCTTTTCTGCAGGAGTGAATAAGAATGTCTGCACCAATACCATCACTGCCCACTCTGCAGAACAGAAGGTGGACCCAGTGCAGGGGCTACAAGTCCAGGACCCTCCCTGGTGTCCCACCCCAAGGCTTCTTAGTGTCAGTGAAATGTGAGGCACCTCAAGGGTTTTCAGTGGAAAATTATAGGACAACTTGACATAAGTTAGTTAAAAGACTATTCACATAAAAACATAAACAATGGGAATAAGCAAACACATTGTGTTAACATACAAAATGAAATTAAGCTGTAAAAGGTAATACAAACTTAGAATTCTCTGTG